ACAGCAGCAACTTTTGGCTAGCCATCGAACAAAGGCGGTCACTACATTGCGCGCTTTCAGACGAGCTTCTGCAGAGTCTGGAACGCTCTTCCATCCGATATTCGGAGGCCACCGAAGCTATGCACTTTGAAATCTAAATTGGAAACTCATTAGAATTTTTTGTGTGTTTTGTGTTGTTGTCCTTTCCCCGCACCTCCGATTAGCACGGTTGGCTGTGAGAAAAAAAGTTCACCGTGCAAGTCACACAAAGTCTGAGTGTGAGCTTGCGAGATCTATTGAGATGGCGCATTCCCAGTGATGTTGTCGCAGGCGACAAAAACATTCCAAAATTAAACTACTACGAATAAAAATAATAATCAATGATGACATCATAGCCCCTTGTCTGTCCATTGCTCTATAAAGACGTGATGTCAATCGTGGCGGTTGTTTGACCATACTTCACCACGCTGGTCAGTGCGATGTGATGAAGGGAGGGGCGGGAGGCAGGATCGTCTCAGATATTATTCGCGACTGCACGTATGTTGAACTTTTTTCGCACCGTACGTAACCGATCGTGCTAATCGGAGGTGCGTCTGGTGTGGGCCGGAGCCAGAAATCACACAGGTCACCAGATTCATCGGACCGTACTGGTCCGCGAGCCACTGTGCCACCCCTCAAAGCCCGTTGCAATATCAACTGTAACATTTTCTTGGTTCTTTCGGTAAAATCACGTAGAATGGAAATAATAAAAGAATACAAATAAAACATAACAAAATATTTTATCTTAAATCATAAAATAAGAAAAATAAAACCTAATAAAATATTTTATTTTATTATGTATCTTTTTATTATGACTTTACCGAAAGAACCAAGCAGATGAATCCCTGCAGTCACGAAAGCTTTAAATCGAAATTTAACTGTAACATTACAAAGCGAGGAGTTATAAATAAATTGAACTCGACACGAGGAAACAGACAATCACGTTTAAGCATGATAAAAAAAAAACTCTTACAAAACCAGTAATGTGTGTATACACCACTCCCCTCAACGAACTGTCGTGCTTACAGGCGTTAAACCGAATAGATACAATAAATACATTGATATTCATCGTTTGATCTCGGTCTAATCCAAGTTTAAACGCGTTTATGCATTCGCCCCTGCCCGTCCGTGAGCTAGATTTGATGCGTGCACCATGAGCCTTAAGAATAAAGTGTTATTCGACGAATCAATACGTGGATAAAAAGCAATTGTGCCGTGCCACTGTTATCAACTCTTATTGTTGTTTTGCGTATTATTGCACGCGTGTGTTTTCCATGACATTCCGTACATGTCAAGTCTCAAGGACTGTTACCCTTGAGACACGCCGTTTTTTTTCTTTCACAATTCAACGTCTCACGGCCGTGCAATGAATGCTCACGTGTTGTTGTTGTTGTTTACTTGAGAATAACCCACTCCAGCCCTGCCTTTTGCAGCGCACTGTCAGCTGCTGCCCGTGTTTGATCAAGTCCTGCACGAAGGGCAGCTCGACAAGTGAAATTCATCACAAATACCCAAGGCTATTACAAAACCATTGTTTCATTCACTATGCGGGTGTTCATCAGGCATATTCTTAGGTTTTTTCGGTAAAGTCACGTAGGTAAAAAATAAAAAGTAATAAAAGTAAAATAAAAATCACGACGTTTCGAAGGCAACACAAGCTTCCGTCTTCAGGTGGATCCGTCACAGCACGATAGCTGTATCAAGTGCTGCAGTTGCTGATAGCTGTATCACGATAGCTGTACCAAGTGCTTCAGTTGCTGATAGCTGTATCACGATAGCTGTACCAAGTGCTTCAGTTGCTGATAGCTGTATCACGATAGCTGTACCAAGTGCTTCAGTTGCTGATAGCTGTATCACGATAGCTGTACCAAGTGCTTCAGTTGCTGATAGCTGTATCACGATAGCTGTACCAAGTGCTTCAGTTGCTGATAGCTGTATCACTTGATACAGCTATCGTGCTGTGACGATTCCACCTGAAGACGGAAGCTTGTGTTGCCTCCGAAACGTCGTGATTTTTATTTTATTTTTATTTGACTTTATATTAATTTTAATTTTTTACCTACGTGACTTTACCGAAGGAAAAAACCTAAGAATATGAATCCTTGCAGTCACGAAAGCTTCAAATCTAGAGTTCATCAGGCAGTTTAGTACATTCGTCTATTGCAGCTGCTATGCAAACATATTTTGTAAGCCCCACTCCCGCCTCTCTTCTCTAAAAGTAGGCGCCCTTGTTACGTAACAGCTTTTCACCTGAACGATAAAACTAAATATTTGTTTTTAAATATAAAAAGTTACATTTCTGTGCCTTAGATTATTGGGGGTTCTCTCACTTTCTTGGGGGGGGGGGGGGAGGAGGGAGGAGGAGGGGTCCCCAAGGGTTTTCAATGGGGGGGGGGGGGGTGGTGGAGAGGTGATCGCTGATTTGAACTCTGTGGGGTCGCCACTCATGAACCGTGCTCATCGGTTTCATTCACGCCGCCGTCGACTCGTGTTGAACATCACCTCGCGACAGATATCTCTCAGCAGGGTAACTCTACGTTCGCAGCAAGGCGTTCATTGATTTTGGGCGGACGTCGTCGTAGGCGTGGGGGTTGTAAACTGTAGAGGATTGCTTAGGTCAAAGTTCACAGTTACTGAGTAGCGAGTTATGTGTGCGATGTGCCCCCCTCACCCCCAACCCACCACCCCTCCCCCCCTCTCTCCCCACGAGCTGTGATGAAGGCCCCCTTGTTGCTTCGGTCAACATCACGGCTGAAATTTGCATCAGCGTGGGGAGAGTATTCGTCTAACAGTGAATTGACCACGGCTGTTGGTGAGGCATTGTTATTGCTGCTGGGACCCGGCGTGGTGAAGGGGCCACACGGTGGCTAGGAGATGTTAACTACCTCGCCTGGTATACAGGAGGTCATGGTTTCGATCCCGACCCTGACGTCTGCTGCATATTTGGAGTTTGCATGCCTCTCTCTCTCATCATTATCACGGTGGCTAGGAGATGTTAACTACCTCACCTGGTCTACAGGAGGTCGTGGTTTCGATCCCGACCCTGACGCCTGCTGCATATTAGGAGTTTGCAGGCCTCTCTCTCTCATCATCATCACGGTGGCTAGGAGATGTTAACTACCTCGCCTGGTCTGCAGGAGGTCGTGGGTTCGATCCCGACCCTGACGCCTGCTGCATATTTGGAGTTTGTGGGCCTCTCTCTCTCTCATCATCATCACGGTGGCTAGGAGATGTTAACTACCTCGTCTGATGTACAGGAGGTCGTGGGTTCGATCCCGACCCTGACGCCTGCTGCATATTTGGAGTTTGCGTGTCTCTCTCTCATCACCATCACGGTGGCTATGAGATGTTAACTACCTCGCCTGGTACACAGGAGGTCGTGGGTTCGATCCCGACCCTGACGCCTGCTGCATATTTGCAGTTTGCGTCTCTCTCTCTCCCCGTGTCGTGTGGATTTTTCTCCGGGTCCTCCGGTTTTTCCCTCCACATTTAGAAACGTGCGTTCAGAGTATTTGGCTGCTTTCCATTTCCACACGATAAGCCAACTTCGTTGAGCTGCCATTTGTGGCCAGGTCGCTTCTGAAAAAATATCTACGTAGCTCGGTGGGCCTCCTTACCTGGTCAAATAAAAATAGTTTAGTTTTAAGTATGGTCAAACAATCCAATGGCTGACACGGTTGGGGAGGCAGTGGTTTGACACGGGGCTGTAAATGTATTATCGTCTCGCTGTGTGTGCGGTGGTAACACGTCCGAGTCTTTTGAGAACGCTCAGAATTCGCTGCTCGTTGCAAAGATAAAGATGAGTTTGGGAAAGGTCGCGTTTGACCAGTGGCGTTAGTATTTATTGTCTGTGTTTGCCCTCTCAGTAAAGTTGGGTCAAATAAAATTTACGGTAGTGCTATAATTATGCACACTTTAAGTAACAAAAAGGATCAGTGCACGTTCAAAAACATTAGAAAGTCTTCTCATTGTGCCACTACATATTGGCCACTCACAAATTTACGCGGTTCTGAAAACAAAGGCAAAGATTCCTGTATAGCCGACACAGACTGGATGGCAAAGTGCTGTTAGCGACCTATCCTGGCCATGCCACCTCCTCGTGTGCCATGCCAGCCTTTATGAAGTGCTCTGAAGCACACTACACCGACACCAGCTGCCATTCGCCACAAAGTTACGGTCACGTCGCCAAACCATTTGTGCCAGGCTAGGTGCAACTTACGGCCACGTGCGCTGTGGAAGGCTCGCCAACAGGAGGTCATGTATTAAGAGCAGACTAGCTGAGCTGACTGGAAGGTGCACCAACTGTGCTCTGCATCGTTGTGCGAGTCTCTCTCCTGCCCTCCCGTCGTTGTTGGAGGGCGACTGCCCCCACCTGCCCAGCAGCGTCCTTCACGAGCCTCCTCAACAGAAGCCGAACTTGACACCGCTGTTGCCAAGTCATCTACAAGTCCGATCAGCTTCACATCTTCCCGTACCACATCCGTCCACCGGCTTTCGACACCTTACCGCGCCCCCTTAGCTCCCTCTATCCAGCGAAACAGAAGCGGCTTAGCGTGCATCTGGAACACTCAACAAAGGCAAAGATTCCCCGTATAGCCTTAACATACTGTTGGGGCAAGTGCGGTTAGCGAGCACCGATGAAGGCCGGCACGGCACACGAGGGGGTTGGTGGCCAGCACCACGCCCGACCGCCTTTGTCTCCCCAGTGGCGATGTTGACCACACACCGCACCAGCTACTCATTTGAGGCTGAGTCGACCAAGGGGAGGCCCAGGACCGGTTCAGATAATCGTCACCGGTTGGCGCTAACCGCTACACCACCGCTCCCCTGAACAAAGACACAGGTCCCCCGTATAGCCTTATCAGACTGTCGGGGGCAAGCGCTGTTAGCGAGTGCCTATGAAGGCCGGCACGGCGCACGCAGACAAACCACTCTCAGTGCTCTGGCCGACCACGAAGTTCGCCACTCAGCGACCGTCGTACCAGGGCATGAAGGGGACGGCTCTCTGGCAGAATGGACACTTCGATCTCCTCCTGCCGTGGCACGGGTCTGAGCCACCACCTGGGCCACCAGCCTTGCGTGGGGGCTCCCTCCTGGCGCTGGTTGTTGTCGTCTTGGTGGTGATGGTGGTGGTGGTGTTGGTCCCAGCGTGGCAGGAACGATGCCCGGGTGCAATGGTCCTGCGGCGTGCCGGGCCGCGAGTTTTGCTGCGTCCCGCACACGGACTCCATGTCGCCCTCCTGCCAGCCGATGTACACCGCGCTCGCGTCTTCTACTCGCATTTTCCTCGATGACCCTAGCCTGGCACCGCCGCCACCCGTGCTGCAATCGGCCCCTCCCTGCCGAGCGAAGCGTCCGCGGCCGCACGCTTTGGAAGGAAGTGTCGGCAGACTGCAGCAGAGTTTGGCCATAGGTCAAGAATTCGGTGACAGCTTCAAGCCAAGGTCTATCTCTGCACCAAGCCTCAGCCGCTACTTCTTCTTCTTCACCCTTTTACTGAGCGCACTCAAGTCTGCGGGTTCACGCAACGACGAAAGTTGTGTCAACAAACACTGTCGCGAACTTGGCTTCGGTCGGAGGCGAGGGGAGGGGGATTAACGGCTGGGTTAATATTTCTCCCATTCTCGTGAAGAGCACCCCAGATTGCGTGTTTTCCCTCGCCCACCTTCTCCTTCGATGCGTTTTCCTCCCCCCACGAAATGCCAAGGCCGCCGTGCGTCTGCGAAGACTGCGACGGTCACCCCCAGGCAAATGCCGCACCGGTCCACCCCGCTTTGAATCGGCCAAACTCAGAGGTCCCCCCCCCCCCCTTTATGTCGAGTCAAAAAGTTTAATCCGCAAGCCGTACAGTTCGCGCTCTCTCCTCCCTCTCTGTTTCTCTGCCGGTGACATGCGCGTCTAGGAGGGGGGCGTCAGACCAGTCGGGCGGGGTGGGTGGCGACGGCGTGGGATTATGTTTATTGCCATCCTTGCCACGACGTGGCACTCGGACGGAGCTCGTGAGATCGCTGTTCATACGCAGGGCTGTGTGCTGCGAAACCGAGGGGAAGGGGAAACAGATGTCTGGTTACAACCGAGTGCTTGTCGTGGCTAATGGCCCTTTGCGCAACACATTTTGAACGTGGCGGGCGGGGAACACAACAGATGAAGGTTTTTTATTATTATTTCAAGCGGACTTTGCATGCTATGTGTGGCTACTCAGCAACGGCATGCCGTACACGGTTAATAAGTACATCATAAGCGAAATGCGATTGCTTGCTTTCGCAATAGCGAATCGGTCGTCTCGCTTGCGTTTGTCGTCGCGACCGACGTATCAGAGACCCAAACCCACCTCCGCCAAATGCAAGCCTTCGTCAGAGCAGCGAGGGCTTCGTTTCTAATGACGATGGCATCGAACACTCGCTCGTTTGATTAGAATGTTCGCTATCAAAGCATGAATACATTCATGCTGAGATTGTGTTGTTGTTGTTGTTTCTGCACCGAACGGGCGTGCAACACGTGGCGTGTTGCGACGTGCTCACAGGGGCCGTCCATAAATGACGTCACGCGATTTTGGACGATTTTTGACCCCCCCCCCCTCGTCACACGGCGTCACAAAAAGTCAGACCCCCCCTCAAATATGACGTCACAAAGCTCTGCCCCACCCCCAAATAAAACACGATTCAAATCGCTTTAAACTATTGTCCTTGTAGTGCGTATTTAATGTGGCGCTGCACTCTGATGTTGTAGGGGAAAACATTTATTAAAAGTATATTTAATTAAGTAGAACGTGTTGTCTATATTTATTTAAAGTTGCGCATTTTGATGTGACGTCACATTTCTCAAACCCCCCCCCCCCCCTCGTCACACATCGTCACAAATGTCTGACCCCCCCCCTAGGCGCCCTAGGCGCGTGACGTCATTTATGGACGGCCCCACACGCATCCTCTAGAGTCATCCGGACCGCGCGACGATTGCGCCGCTAAGAGTGTCAAAGGCGGTGCGAACGTGAAGATTGAGTCGTTCCTTGCTCCACCAGCTTCCATGTCGCTTCGTAGTCCGGCGCTCGCAGTTTCGTGGCCTGGCGTTCTCTCTCCCCACCCACTCCACACGACCATCTTCTCCTTCCACCCTTGTTTTTGTGTGTGTGCGTGGTCCGAAGGCTGTTTGTTACATTCACACAACCGGCGTCAAACGGAAAAAAATGCTCAATTTTGATCGTTGAGTTGGACCAATTCCGAACAAAATGAGGGTTGTTTTGTCGTGCGGGTAGCCAGGCGCGGTCATTAATTTGCAAGCGAGCAGGCTGCGGAATTCACAGGCCCTGAGCCCGTTGCCAGGATACCCTGCTGGCTGATGCCTCGTATCCACGAACACTGGGACATTGCAGTCCAATGATAACGTTACCTCCAAGCTAATGCAATGAATGAGATGGAATGGACAACAAAAGAGCAAACAGGATGCGCATTGCAAACGAGATGGCACAAATCATGCAAACAGCATCAAAAGCAACATCACTTCTTTAACGTTTACCTCCCCCCCCCAGATTGTGGGAATCTATCGAATTGTTTGAGGGGTGCATTGTTACAAATGTAGGTATTAACGCGTACTTCGTTATCTACAACTAAATCTAGGATCGACATTTAAAAAAAATATGTATTTTGCTCTGGATTCCGAATTCTCCTTGTGACTCCTATCCGTCATAATAACAACAACTTTGTTTTCCAGGAAAGCCACACGGAGTCTCAAGACCCTTTCAAAATCGTCTTGCTACGTGGGCCTGTTTCCCATACAGCAAGGGCATTGGAGGAACCGGAGAACCCCGAAGTAAACCCCAGGCAGAACAGGGCGAGAGAGAACGCTCAAAACCCCACGCAGAAGGGTGCCCGTGTCAGGAATCGAACCGGGGCCCTTCTTTATGTGAGGCCACCCTGTAAAAAAAAAAAAGTTTAATTACTCGAGTAGCAAATAAACAAGACTGTGGTAAAACAGTTTGGTTTGAAAAACGCCCAATGCTTGTCCAAGTTTGTGACGAAGTCGTGTGTCAGATATATATCTGACATCTGCTGGGCTGATAATTTTCATATGATGCAAGCGTGACCTTTATTCATGTGAACATTAAGCTGGCTTGGCTGCTGCTATAAACAAACGTATTACTTATGAAGCAGTTAATTTTTACTACTATAATTTATGTTGCGAACAGTAAGCCAGTAGTTCGATCCGGTTGTCTTTTTTTAGTGTGTGCGTATGAAGCAGCCCAAGAGGAAAATGTTGGGAACAGATAATGCTGCACGCGTGTTTTTTTACCCGAAGCTTTATGGAACGACGACTTCCATTATGTTGGACACGCTAGGAAATGCCGGACGACGCAGAGGTCAGACAGAGGTGCTCGCACATCCCACTTTGCCGCTGCACCACGAGCACTTTGCGTGAGGATGGACCGTGGCATCGGAGCTTTTAATCAAAATCCAAGATGCGGACAGACAAAGCAGTGGGAAGGAGATATTGTGTCGCGCTGGGGGAAAAAAAGGCACTCCAACGCTGCACTGCTATTAAACCACAAATGTCCCAAGCGACAATAGCGACGACGTTCTACCTCGTGTACGGAGTTATTGTGCGTATTTATGCCAGTGGAGTCGCTAGCTGGAGCGATGACCCGCCGTTGGGTTAGTGCGTCGGCCGCTCGTTGCAACAGGGGTCCGCGGCTCGAACCCAGCGGCTGCCCTGATGAATGCTGCGCTTGCAAGCAGCCATACGTGGGCGAACGTTCAAGAGCCCGTGGCGTCACGAGAAAGAGAACGGGGCCGCGTGCCCCGGCGTGGTGCTCCAGCGTTGCCAAATCTGACAAAAATTCCATGAGAATTACCCAACTGGGTAAAACCACACGTCGACATCGCCCCCTACGGGCGCACTATCCTTTGTACGCGAAACATAGCTGCAACAATAGCTTGCGCTATCATAATTGAGCGAATACCATCATTGTTATTATATTTCGATTTAAAGCTTTCGTGACTGCAGGGATTCATCTTCTTGGTTCTTTCGGTAAAGTCACGTAGAATGGAAACAAAAAAGTTTTATTTTTATTATTTCCATTCTATGTGACTTTAACCGAAAGAACCAAGAAGATGTTATATTATTATTGAGTGCGCACGTGTTGCAACTGCACGGGGCCCCATGGCCCAGAGTGGCTGCATGCTCCGTAGCTAGGCCAGGTTTGAGGTTTGAGTGCACGACAACCGTGCAAGCTCTGTGTGTGTGTGTGATGGCGCTGTTGGTGTGTGAGCGTGGGTGTGTGCACTGCGCCACAAACCCGGCAACCCGAGTTTAATCCCCGCTCATGGCCATCAACACCAGTCCTGCGCCTCCCCTAGGTCCAAAGGACCCTCAGATATGTCCCTGATGCGATGTGCAAACATCACTAGGGAGACAAAGGTGGTCGGACGTGGTGCTGACCACCTACCTCGTCATACACGTGTGCCATGCTGGCCTTCGTAGGTGCTCGCTAAAAGCATTGTTCCAACAGTGTTTAGTTTGTTGTCCTTCCCCCGCACCTCCGATGACCATGGTTGGCTACGTACGGTGCTAAAGAAGTTCAGCATACATACACACACACCTACAACCGGTCAGGCACAGTGCCTAAAAACTTTAAAACACGGGACCACAGCACGAAAGTCCAAGTTCACATATGGCTCCACAGTGGCACCCCGCAAGCAAGACCGACACCCGTGGGCACGCTTTAGATTAGAGCCAGCAGCCGCGTGTGTTTCTGGGCCTTTTCCTTCGTTTAAAAGTAGGTCGACATTGACCGCTTTTTTGTGTGCCCGTGCGTTTTCTCTAAACGAGCGCCGTTCGCTAATGCTGGTGCGAGCACGTTGAGCCATTTGCCGTAACGCCGGGGGCATTAGCTGGGCCCTAACGCGCCTCCCCGCGACATTTCTACACGAGTCTAAATCCTCGATAATCCTTGCCAATCAACCGGAACGCTAGCATCATCACATCAGCGTCCGTGGTAATAATTAGGTGCCTTAGCGGAAAAGAAAGTACTTACGGCGGCTGTGTTGAGATAATAACTCAAGTGTTTGCGCGGTTGGGCTAAGTGGGTCCTGTGCTGTGTTGGGGTTGTACCAGACGTAGCCTGCACTCTGTATGGTTTGTTTGGGGAATAGAAAATATACCAGGCATTGTGTTTATATTTTCATATGTACCGATGATGATAGCGCCAGTGTAATCGAACGGAATGTGTGTATTTGTTGATTTGTTGAGGATTGTATCTGTTTAAATAACGAAGTAATGTTTTCATCCACGAGAGAAATTGAACGCTGGATGAGGGCCCGCTCATACTGCGTGGGCTGTGGAGATTATTTCACCATACTTCACCACTCCGTTACTTCAGTTCATATTACTCCGTGACACGACTCGTTATGACGAGCCAAGATAACATCACGCACAAAGTGCTCATTCGCGTCGTCGTGTGGAGAATAACAAGCAGCGAATGCTTCACATATCCGTCTCTCCGCGTTAAAAAGTAAAGTACTTCATACATATACAAGTACACGGCTGTGGACCGGGTTTAACACTACTCAGTGGCTGTGTTTCATCAGCATCAACGCTGATGCATTCAGCATGTTGGTTGCTCGTTCAGGTGTGGACCCCCCCCCCTTTAGACATTTTAAAGTGGGGGGCTCATTAGGGTCTAGCGGGGGTGGAAGTGGAGGGGGTGAATATGGGGGGGGGGGTGAATGTGGGGGGGGGGGGGGTGAATGTTGGGGGGGGGGGTGAATATGGGGGGGGGTGAATGTTGGGGGGGG